CTGGGTATCGAGACCTCTTGCGCTCTGTGGAAAGCATCCTTGAAGGTCTGCCAGCTCTGTTCTGTTGTCCCTGAGGGTCCTATTGACTAACTCCTTGAAGAACTGGAAGTTTGCTTTCCTAAAATTCAGGGTCCTGACTTTCCTCTTTGCCTGACCCATATCCCTCAGGACTGTGAACTCCACCAGTGCATGATCACTGCAGCCCAGGCTGCCTCCAATCTTGATGTCACCGATTAGGTCACTTGCGTTGGTGACCAACAGGTCCGGTATCGCATCCTCTCTGGTAGGGCTGTCTGTGTCCTAGCTTAAGAAGTTATCCTCAGTGCACTCCAGGAGTCTCCTGGATTGCCTATAGCTCACCATGCTCCTTTTGCAGCGGATATTGGGGTGCTTGAAGTCCCCCAGCAGGACAAGAGCCTGTGAGCACGATGCCTCTTGGAGCTGGAGTAAGAAGGCTTCATCAGCAGGCTGCCCTTGATCAGGCAGCCTGCACTAGACACCAGCCACAAGGTTCCCTTTGCTGCCTTGGTCTCCAATTGCCTCTATGACGAGATAAATCTTTAAATTCTTTCGCTATTACAGTGGCCTGCATTTTATCACAACAGCCCAATTTATCTAAAAAAAAAAGTCTCAGTGAGTATTTTCAGTAAAGAGTGGAGCACATGGAAATGTGCTGGAAAACACCAACCCTCCTATGTGTATCTGTTATTTACTTTCCTTCCCATTAACTAATAATCCTGTCGGCACATTTACTTTTACCACTTTAACAGAGCCACAGACAATCCTATTGCCTTTTTTGCCCCTTGCCAGTTGTAAGTTGTTTTGGATGCTTTATAATGTCTGAACATAAAGCAAAGAAGAATAAATATACCAAAGCTGCTAAAGCCAAATACATTTAGCCAAACAATCCAGCTCAGAGTAGAAAAGCAAAGCTTCAGATTCTGTGGTAGCCAGTAAAGTATCTGCCTGTATATAGGTATTACCAAATACAGCCATAAATCTGAAATGAATATTCAGTGACACCAGGAATTTACGCACCCTCTTATAAAAACACAGACACTCTCTCTCTTACAAATCTGTATCAGAAAAACACTCTTGATTTTTATCATCAAAAATATAAGTTCTAAGTGAATTTGAATTAAAGAAGTACTTTTAAATCACTTAAGTGAATCAGTACATGAGTAGAGCTCTTTAGTGTTACGTACGAAGTTTGATTGAAATTAAAAATTAAAAGTATCACTATTTATATTGTTTTCCCTTCTGCAAATAATACTGCTATGGGTATTTGAAATGATGGTGTGGCCATTACTACAGCATACCACCCTATTTCAGTGTCATGTCCCTATTTCAGCATTGTGTGAGCACACATACGCCTGTGAGCAGGCATGACCTCATATATATGCTAAGGTTTTGGTTCTTAAAATGTTCTCATACAAATTCATGCAAAATTTATGAGTTGAGCTGTAATAAGCAACATGAATCAATTCCAGATTGTATTTACTATGGTGGTCTGGTTTTTACTTTTATTTTACAAAACAGAGGATGCTTACTGTGGAAGATGTGAACTGCATCTGCATAAACTGGAAAAGAGGCGCAAGATGTCAGTACACCCAGGCATCAAACAACGTCCGTGTTGTGGGTGCTGAAATAGCTTATTTTGTAAATGTTCTTATGGTAAGAATCTTCTGGTTATAAAGCTGTAGTTATGATGCTGATTTGAAAGAATATGATTCAGGAGCTTTCATGAATGTGAACATAACCAGCAGAAAACATTTTCTTCTAAAATGATCACTGAGTAGGAGTTGTGCTGAAAAAAGACTTTTTTTGTTTTTTTTTTAAAAGTTAGAGAACCATGTCATAACAGCAGGGTTAGCCAACAGGGTATGGGATATGAAGTGCTACAAGACATTCCCATAGTACAGCCAAATAGTTATTCCATAGATGTTAACAGATGTAAAGGGTTGTGTAGTTTTAAATATATGCAGAGATAATGGACACAGCAAACTGTCTTTTCATGGAGACGAAAACCTACCAAATGGCTCTTAAGAATGCCAGAAAACCAGCTGGCAGCCAGCAGCAGCTGGTGGACAACTGCTCTCCTGTGAGCAACAAGGCTTGTGCACAGTCCCTACATCTACAGAAGGTGCCACATGCCCCCTTTCTTAGCCAGCTTCAATGGGAAGCAATGCTTGGTTGAAACCTTCTTTTAGTCTAAGTGCTTTCAATATACATTTCCCATAAAAGAACTATAAATTACTTAAATAGATAGTATGCTGGGTCTAGGAGTGCTCTGACCCATGTCTCACTCTACATCTGCACTGCAGCCACTGAATTACTGTCCAAAAAGGCTGAAGGTATCTCTCCTCTCATGGCCTCCTCCAGCTGCACGTGGTGCCTGACCTGCCAGGTGTAACTAAGAGTTCCTGCCTGGCTGAATCTCACAAGCCAGATAAGCATCCTCAGAATCTTAACGGGTCTAGGATGTAAAATGGATACAGAGCCTCTCAGGACTCGGTTGACAGAGAGGTCTAGAGTTTTAACAGCCTCCAAATGAGGGCAGCACCCAAACTAGGAGTTTTGAAAAAAATCTGTATTGGACATAAGTACCTAAATTAACAAACAGGTGCTGATATCCTATAGAAGTTCCTGAGTCTGTAGTCAAATTGTTTTTCAGCCCCTTTTTACTCTTCCCTGTTGCCGATGAAAACACATGTAGTAATTTTTAATATTTCTATTCGCTCAGGAAAAATACAAATACCCCCCAGCCAAAGTTCACATAATTGGCCACAGCCTTGGAGCACACGTAGCAGGTGAGGCTGGCAAGAGGCAGCCAGGGGTCGGGAGAAAAAATGGGAAA